AGACCTGAAACGTTAACTCTGTTTTTTCCTTCACAGATGCTGCCAGACCTGCTGAACTTTTCCAGCAACTTTGTTTTTGTTCCTAATTTACTGCATCCACAGTTCTTTCAGTTTTTAATGTAGAATAATGCCAGCATTGTAGGCAGTCATTACAGAAGATCAGGATGTGACAACTACATTAAATGGATTCTTCACATCAGTTTTCACACAGATTCACTGCATGCATAAAAGACAAAAATTTAGAAAAACAACATGCTGAAAGGAACAGTTAGGATTAAATATTGATGAGGCTCTTAAAGTACAGTGGACGCATTCTCAAATCTTTTGAGGATGAAATTAGCAGTCTGCATGCTTTAAATAACAAATTATGTTATAAATTTGTTGGAAATCTTTGAAGAGGTAACCTAATTAGTTGAAGGAAGTAAATTGAAAATGTAGTTAACATGGGTCACCAAAAGAATTCAGATGCAAGTATTTCATATAAAGCTGTAAAATAAGGTTAATGCTCCCAAAACAGATGACGAATGCTCCTGATGAAATTAGAATTGCCTTAGCAAGACAAGACAGAGGGTGGTAACAAACAAATTCTCTCTGGGATCCTGCTAAATCTAATAGTTGGAAATATGAAACAGGGTGCCGCTACAAGTTTAAATTTGGTACATTTAAGGAAAACTGAAAGAAACAAGTCATCTTCAGAGAAACAGGAGTGGATTATCTGGATTGTATTGACAGAAGATGCATTGGAACGTCAAAATAAATTTCAGAATTTGTGGTAATTAAATATTTATAACATCAACAGATGTTTGAACAGGACAAGGATTTGGAAGTAATCACTGGTCATACCCTAAAAGCATCTGCTCAATATGACTGTTAACAAGAAGGGAATGCGGGTGCTGGATTCCATCTGGAACGCACTATTTTATAAGTCAATACAAGTCGCATTAATCAACAGGTCTGCAGTGAAGCCAGTCCTAGAATTTTGACAATTTTGAGCAATGTACTTCAAAAAGCATACTGACATAAAAGAACAACTTTGAACCAATACCAGCTCTCCAGGAACTAATTTCTAGAACTTGCATTCACCAAAGAGAGACTGAATGGATAAATTATGCAGATCTTTAAAATAATGAAAAGACTTCATTCAGTTGAAGAAAGAGAGCTACATGCACAATAAGAAAAATGACTACAGGGCACAAGTACAAATCCACAAAACCTTAAAACAAGGTCAGAGATGAAGAAAAACAAACTGTTGCCTTTCCATAGACACACATGGCAGATGCCCAGAGAAGCTGTGTGATGTCGTTCACCACTTGACACTTTTCAATGAGAGCAGAGTTGACATCTATTAAGAAAATAACTGAAGATTTTAAAGAAGCAGTGACACCTTTTCAAAAAAAAAAAAGAAAATTAGCAAAGGAACACTTAATTTGAGGATTAATAGGTGGCAGAGAGGAGTCTTTATCGTATGTGGATTCCAGACAAAGTACATTAAATGAGTTGAAAGTGCTATTTCATTTCTGTTTTATTTGACACTCGAGAGCAAAGTAGACATTGGAGCTGCATCGAGTATTTTTCCAAATTTAGTCACAGATTTCTGTGCTACGTATACACCAAACACTTCTTGTCAGTTGGAAAAAACCATGTAAAACAGAATTAGCAATGAACATTTGAACATATGAACATATGAATGCAATGAAAATGTGATCAACACACAACCTGTCATCAAGCAAACAATGTTTTTTTGTGTAATCATACTTTGTATAGATTTGTGCTCGAGACATGAGTAACCCAAGCGAGACTACACAATGCTCTGCCCTTTCCTCTCCTCAGGATATTAGGATTCAAACAGGTGGTCAAATTTTGTAAAATAAACTGCTAATTCAACATCTGGGAGTTAGAGCAATCTGCGTCATCTTAAGATTGGCGAATAGCTGATGTTATTCCTCTGTTCAAGGGGAGAAACAGGGATAATTCAGGAAACAATGGACCAGTGAGTCTCACATCAGTAGCTGGGAAGATTTTGGAGGGAACTTGCTGGAATAGGATTTACGCACATTTGGGAAAAACATGGCCTAATTAGGGACAGTCAGCAAGGCTTTGTGCAGGACAGGTCATATCTCACTAACTTGATTGAGTTTTGAGGAGCTGACGAAGGAAATTGATGAGGATAGAGCAGTGGATGTTGTTTACATGGATTTCAGTAAGGCTTGACAAAGTCCTTCATGGTAGGCTATCCAGAAGATTAAGATGCATGGAATCCATGGCAACCTGTTTGGATTCATAACTGGCTTGCCAGAGAAGGCAGAGGGTGGAAGGGTGTTCTTCAGGCTGGAGGTCTGTGATTAGTGATGTGCCACAGGGGTCTGTACTGGAACGTCTGCTGTTTGTGATATATATATAAATGACTTGGATGAAAATGTACATGGGCGGGTTAGTTTGCAGGCGATACAAAGATTCGAGGATTTGTGGACAGTGTAGAAGGTTCTCAAAGGATACAGCAGGATATAGATCAGTTGCAGTTATGGGCGGTGAAATGGCAGATGGAGTTTGATCCGGTTAAGTGTGAGGTGCTGCACTTTGGGAGGTCAAATGTTAAGGAAAACTATACAGTTAATGGCAAGACTCTAAACAGCATTGATGTACAGAAGGATCGTGGGGTTCAAGTCCATAGCTCCCTGAAAGTGGCCACTGAAGTAGATAGGATGGTAAAGAAAGCGTATGGCATATGGCATATGGCATGCTTGC